GCCCGGGGCTGTAGCAGCTTCGTCCTTGCCGCCACCCAGCCTACCAGCAATCTGCCGCTATCGGCAACCTTCTTTGCCGCCGCTACAGGGCACCGAACCCAGACCGCGCCAAGTCCGGTGGCATCGGTGCGTATATCGCCGGCCCTCACCTTGTCCGGCGGACACTCTCCGCTTCTGGCAACGGCCGCCACCACCTCCTCAGATGTCACGGAGTCGTCCAGGCCAGCAATCCGCAATTCTGCGGTTTTCATTGGTCTGGAGACCCGGACGTCCTCAGGGTTGAGGACCTCTCTCATCTTGGCGGCCAATGCGTCCGCCTTTTCGGCACTGTCGCTCACAGTGCCAGCCACCTCGAACAGCCGCGCACCCGTGGCAGCCTGCCTGAGGGTGACGGACTGAAGGCCAAGATCTGATAATTTAATCTTGGCCTTGGCCTCAGCGATGACCGACTGGTACGTCACGCCACGCTCCACAGCTCCGGGCTGCAATGTTATTGTCACCACATTGGACCGCGGAACACGTACAGCCGATTTCTTGCGACCGCCTTTGGCAGTCCGCCGCTCAGGTTGAGGAGCCGTCTTTGCGGTTCCACCTGGGGCATGTGCAGTTGCTGCGGCCTTCTTGGCGGCTTTGCGGGCCTTCTTGCGGCCCACGACTTTCGCCCATGTCTCACCCTTAGACCCGGCTGTCGTGGGCTGGTCGCTCGGAGGAGCGTCTCGGCGGCTCCTCAGTTCTCCGCGTGTCAGCTGCCAAAGGCGGACGTAGGGTTTCCGCCGGGAGACGCCGAGAAATCGCCTCCAGCCGAGCGTTAACCATGCTCCCGCACTGGAGCATGCAGAGCCGGACAATGCGCTCGACCTCTTCGTCGGTACGAGGGCTTGTCGGTCGCGGTGCGGGAGTCGGGGCCACTACAGATGCGGCATCGGTGGATGTGCATCTCTGCTGCTGCTCGCTCAGCGCCGCGACTTGCTGCCGGAGGTCCTCTAGATCATTTCTGAGGCGGCTATTTTCCTCCTGTAGTTTGGCGACCTCGTCAGAGGCCGTCCTGTTGAGGAGAATGCCAACCGCCTCCCCTGATGTCCGCGGCAGCCTCTTTTAAGCCACGGGTGAACGTGCCCTTCAGGCTGCCAGACTTGGTGGCAACCTTCAGGACTAAGTCCACCCCATCCAGAGCCAGCTGGCTCAAGGCCACCGCAGACGGCTCTCCTTTTTCCGCCGCCAGAGCAGCTCGTCGTTCGCGAGCACGTCCGGCCATTTCAGACACTTCGTCTGCTGCGACGGCTTTGCGCTGTTCCCTCTTGGCGGCGTTGAGCTCCGCCTTTGAACTCCGCAGCGAGGCACAGCTTTCGCCGCCATCGCCAGGGTCCTCCGTAGTGACCCCCATGTCACTCTCTGCTTCACTAGCCGCCGAGGTATTGGAGCACACGAATCGTCCGTGCTTACCCCTTCGCGGCTGCGAAGTATTTACCCCTCTCGATGCCTGCCGACCCCTCCTCGAAGTCGCCAACTTGGGGGCTGGCAGGCCTTCCTCGTCCGAAGACCGGCACACTGGACGTTTCCTGGCGGAAGACGTCCCACGCGATCTGTCCACGTCTGATTCATCCTTTTTTTCTATATCTACATTTTTTAAAGTTTTATTCATTTTTTTTTCCCACGAGTGTGGAGGAAGTAACGGTCCGTCCGAGCAGAGCCCCCCTTTGCCCGGATAAGCCTATGCATAACCCGTCAAGGGTGTCGGCCGGTACCCTGACGGGGGGGCAACGCTAACGACTGAACATTTACCCATCAGCCATGCAGCTCCTCACGGCGTGCCACGCTTGAGCTTCGGGTGATTTTTTATAGAGGTTATCATCCTCGCGACTCCAGGCGGTTAAGCCAAGAGCCCTCGGCCCCTCAGGCGCCGCGAGACATGATCCACGACACGCCAAAGGGATTCCGAGGTTCGAACAGTGGCAGAGTCGATACGGGTTCTTCCCATGCCTGCCCAGAGACCGGGTGAGGGAACTCTGAGCCCATTCTATTCCCGCGATGACGGGTTGCCCGGCGTCGGCAAAAGCCGAGTGCACCTGGCATCTCACCGCGCATGTCACATCCTCTGTTCCTCTCAGTGGAGAGGATACGGGGAAGCAACTAGCAGGTACTTGATTCCATTCGGAACCAGAGGTACGCCCCAAACCCAGCCAGTTTTGGTCCGCGACGGTTTCCCGCTACCACTCATATCTGAGTGGCATTCCTCTATCCGCCACCTGGGGACGCGCCCGATGGGAGGACTGGCAACTCCACACGGGAACCTAACCTAACCTAACCTAACCTAACCTAACCTAACCTAACCTAACCTAACCTAACCTAACCTAACCTAACCTAACCTAACCTAACCTAACCTAACCTAACCTAACCTAACCCAACCCAGTTGCAATCGATCCGCGCTCGAAAACGCATCATTTTGCACGTGCTCCTCACTAAAAAATTCATAAAAGTGGTTTTTTGTGGTCCGATTTGGACAAGTGAAGTGTCGATAGATCGGGCAACCTGAGGCCTATATTCCCTGATCTAGAAAACAACCCGGACTTTTACGGCTGAAGCACAGGACCCGGAAAACTACCTTTTTTGAGGTTAGTTTTCGAGGAATTAACCTTTAAATGCCAGTATCCGGTGATTTTGACGAGTGCCCCCTAAATGTTTGACTGCCACAAGTAAGGCCTTAGTGGTCTGCAACTTTTGGGCGCAACAGAAAAAATTTTGGACCACGCATTTTGAAGTTATCTTCAAAAAAACAAAAACCACGTGTTGTTGAAAACCAAGAACGGAAGCAGACAGCAAGCTGAAAAATTACAGGAAGCAAGTTTGAGGCAAGGAGGCTGCATCGCAATAGTTTGTAGAATTTTATATTATATACTTTTTAAATAATTACATTTTTAAAATTAAAACTTTAAGTATAATTTTCTTAGTTTGTATAACGTTTGCAAAAATTTTGAAACTGCTATCTTTTGCGCGCTAACCGTATTTACATATAAATGATTTTTTATTTAAATTTCACTTGTACAATTAAATAAAACTATTAAATTTGATAAAAAACATTATTTTTAAGTTTATTAAAGAAAATTGTAAAAAATCTTTTAACATTAGTCCACAATAAGAATAAGCTTGTATTCTTCTTAATTTTAAAAATTTTTCGGGATTTTTTACGGCATTCGGTTTCGAAGATATGAATTTTTTGGCATTTTTTCATGAATATTAGTAAAATAATAGAAATCAATTAAATTTATCATTATATATAGGCTTATTATATAGGAGACGTTTCATTTAAGTCCAAACTTCAAGCGAAAAATCCGAGAATTGGCGATTTTGTCAAAATTTCAACAATCTGGTTTTTTGGTTATATTTTTGAATTGCTCATATCTTCGAAAATCCTGGTCGTGGAAAGCTCGGATTTTAAACTTATGTTTGAGGAGCTCATACTCTACAATAGCAATAAATTTTCAGGCGTATTGGATGCCTGAAATTTTTTCTCCTGAAACCACTTTCAGGACACAATTTAGGCCCAGCCCAGCTGTAAATTCGAAACCCCGTTTCCGTACGACCTCTGGTCTTAAAGTTACGGGGTTCTAAACATTGACTTTGACAGCTGAGCGGCCATCTTGAAAATTTTTAAACTACCATAACTTTGGCTCCGGTTGTCGTAGAAATCTGCGGTTTTTGATTTCGACATTAAGAGATCAAGTTTTACCCACCTTTAAAATTTCAGGCTATTTAAAGCCCATATTTTTTGATGTCCTGAAAGTGCGTTTAACGGAAAGACTAGAAAAAGCATAGTAAAATAGTCGAAGCGCGGGTCTTCTGCGACAACTAGAAGTAAAGATATCGTCAGTTAAACTTCAATTTTGACACTTCAGCGGCCATCTTGAAATTCTTTAAAGGCCTATATCTGCTAAACTAGGAATCGTAGAAGACTGGGATTTTGACCATAGGAGATAGTAAGGAGTTTTAAACAGGCTACATAGCTTTCAGGCAAATTCAGAGCCCATAATTTCTGTGTCCTGAAATCTATACCAAATTACAGCCTTGGTCGAGCCCACCAAAACGAGCCCAAGCACGGAGCTGTAGGCCCATTCGTTCGGGAGTTATAGCGTTTTAACCGTATTTTAGGCAGCCATATTGCTTTGTAACCAAAGTTTTGAAGCGATATAGCTTCGGAACCTCTTGGGCTAGGATTGCCGAGTTTGGGTTCTTTGAATAGGGCTCGGGAAGTGCTTTTACCTGATAGTTAGAAAGAGACTCTATGTAGAGCCAAAAACTTGTTAGTATATAACTCTCATTTTAGAAATAGTTTTTGAAAATTTTAACATTAATAGACATATACCTTTTATAACTTTTGATTTTAATAGCGTTTCACCCTAATTTTGGCTGCCATATTGTTTTAAAACCGAAATTATAAAAGGCGATAACTACTGAACATCTTGGGCTAGGTTTACCGAGTTTGGGTTCTTTAGATAGGGCTCAGGGAGTACTCTTAACTGATCACAAGTAATTGACTCTACGTAGAGTAGAGAGCCAAAGACTTACAAATATTTTGTGTATATAAGACTGATTTAGTACCTAAACGAAGGTAGAGTTACGACTCTATATAGAGAAGTATTTTGACAGAAATGGTGACTGGATCTCTGTGGTCCTTTTAAATTTGATATTACGACAATCTCGTCAACTCTTCAATAATTTTATAACTTATACAAACTTAAAAACTTTTAATAATTTGGGAACAATTTATCTGTTATTTACTGTTTGCTGTATTTTATAACTTATACAAATCTCTTTTTACATGTTCTTGTTTTAGATTTATTATATTTTATTATAAAGATAATATCGGAAATCGTTTGACTTTAAAATTTGCATATTAAATTATCTTATCTTATTTTATTGCTTTATTGGGCGCATATTTATAAAAATTTTATCTCATAAATTCTCAAATTTTTGTTGACAATAACCCTTTGAAGTAAGACAAAATGTTTAAAACACCCCCACTTAATAAGACTACAGTATTGACGGATAACTCCGTAAAACAAACCGAAGAAATAGAACCATCAGCGGGGAGAGCGCAGGAAGGGATATCCCAAGTAAGAAAAAGTGTCGGTGAGCTTGAGTCGCGACTTAGTGCAGCTCCTAAAACAAGGACAAACACGCAACCGGCCAAACGAAAATCTCAAAACAAACTATCCCCTGCAGCTTGCAGTGTAGAAAACCAAGCTGACCCAGAAACGACTACCTATGCAAATAGGGCACAAGAAGCGAAAGCGTATCTGGTTAAAATAAAACTTTTATTAAATAGCTCACGAAATCTAAAGACGGAATTAAAGGACAAAATTATAGAAGCTGTTGACAAATTATATAGGTTGGCGAAAGAAGTGGGAGAAGGAAAGGAAATCACATTAGTAAAAGAATCTAGCACTGCTGAGAAAATGATCGAGGTAGAACACAAGCTAATAAAGAAATTAGAAGAACACAGTAAGCTCCTCACTGAGTATAAAATAGAAACTCAACGGTTTAGTGAAGAGGTAAAATGCCACACCGAGAAATTAACTACCTATGCAAGTGTGACGGCAAATTACACCAAGAGTCAACACCTGAAAGTTATCCCAACCCACCTGAAAAACACCGTCCATCCACAAATGCATTCAATTATAGTTACATCGGACAATGAAAATGACACGAGTGGTGAAGTACTTAATAAGATAAGAGTTGCGGTAGATGCAAAACAAAATGGCCTAAGGATTGAAAAAAGTGAGAAAGGCCAAAGATCAGAAAGTGATCGTGGGATGCGGTACTAGAGAGGAATTGGAGAAAGTAGCAAACCGACTGAAAGCAGGTCATATAGGACTTTCAGTCGAAGAAGCTATGAATAAAGACCCACTGGTAATTCTAAGGGATGTACTGCAGATCAATACCGATGAAGACATAATTACCGCAATTAGAAACCAAAATAAGAACCTATTGGAATCATTAAAAAGCGAAGAGGTGCGATTAGCAGTACGTTACCGGAAAAAGACCAGGAACCCGTATACAAACCACGTGATCCTTCAGGTGTCCCCATCACTATGGAAACGCTTGACAGAGATAGGGCGCGTACACGTTGACTTACAGCGCGTAGTGGTAGCAGACCAGTCACCACTGGTGCAATGTTCTAGATGTCTTGCGTATGGGCACGGAAAAAGACAATGCAAGGAGGCAGAAGATCAATGTTCCCACTGCGGAGGTTCACACATCAAAGCCGAATGTGCAGCGTATACTGCTGGGAAAACACCTTCTTGTACCAACTGTCTCAGAGCAAAGTTGGATCGCGCAGACCACAACACTTTTGACAGTGAGTGTCCGGTACGTAGGAAGTGGGATGCTATAGCAAGATCAAGTGTGGCATATTGCTAAAGTTGTAGCTAAAATTGGGGGCAATGAGCAAAAACGACAGGAAAGGACAAAAAACGAACCCATCTTCTTCGTGCAGGCAAATCTTCAAAGAAAAGAGCTTGCAACTAATGAATTGATGATTGAGGCCAGCAAGATTGGGATGAGTATCGCTCTAATCCAAGAACCGTATGTGGGGGGGCGTGGGGAGCATGAAAAGCTACCGAGGTGCTCGAATATATCAATGCACCCAAAGAACAGCAGGAATAGTTAAGACGGCCATTGCCGTCTTTAACAATAACATCAGCGTCACTCAGTATCCTACTCTCACTACAAATAATTTCACGGTAGTCAAAATTGGAATGGGTGCTCAGGAGGTGGGAATAATATCCCTGTATCTCGAACCGGACTTACCCATTGAACCATACATGGACCATTTAAGACATGTGCTCACTAAAATTGGTAAAATTGACGTACTCGTAGGAGGGGACGGAAACGCTTGGAGCCCATGGTGGGGTAGTGTGAGAGAAGATGGAAGGGGAGAAGTGCTATCGGGAACTTTAAATGAGCTCAGCCTCCACATATTAAATGAAGGAGACACTCCTACATTTGATACGGTAAGAGGAGGAAAAACATATAGGAGTCATGTCGACATAACAGCATGCTCCGAAAACTTGTTGAAGGTGGTGGAGGACTGGAAAGTGGATACTGGCATGACAAGTTCAGATCACAATACAATTAAATTCTCAATTAATTTAGTCAAAAGTTCAGGAGTAACGATACAAAGAACAACGAGAATATATAATAGTAAAAAAACAAATTGGTGTCAATTTCGTGAGAAATTGATTCAATTTCTGGCAGATAAAAATATCAATTCCGTAGAAATTAAAAAAAATAAATAACAAATTGGACTTAGAAAATCAAATCAAAAATTATTTAGAAACAATCGAAAAAACTTGCGAAAACACAATCCCGAAAAAAGAAGAATATAAGCAAACTGAATTTACCATGGTGGAGTGACGAACTTGTCAGGCTTAAGAAGGACTACATCACCAAAAAACGACGCATAAGATGTGCAGCCCCAGTGCGAAGAGAAGCAGTCGTCGGAGAATACCTGCAAGCAAAAGAAAAATACGAATATGAAGCTAAACAGGCTCAGATAAAAAGCTGGAAAGAGTTCTGTGGTAGACAGAATAGAGAGGGGTTGCGGGAAGGCATATACCGAGTTATCGGCAGAACTGCTAAACGGCACGAAGATCTGCCACTCACAAAGGATGGAGTAGCTCTAAATAATGCCGAATCAGCGAGATGTTTAGCCGAGACATTCTACCCGGAAGATGAGGTTGAAGCTGATAACACAGACCACCAGCGTATAAGAAAGATAGCTGAAAAGATAAACGTGGGAACGCAAGATGATTCTTGTGACCCACCATTTACTCTTGCGGAGCTAAGGCAAGCTACGAGCAGCTTCAACCCAAAAAAGGCACCCGGTGGGGATGGTTTTACGGCCGACATCTGCCGAGAAGCCATCTTTCATAGCCCGGAGATTTATCTGAGCCTAGTCAACAAATGCCTGGAGTTGGGACACTTCCCTACCAAATGGAAAGAGGCAGTGGTAGTTGTTTTGAGGAAACCTGGAAAGGATGATTATACGCACCCCAAAGCCTACAGACCAATAGGTCTACTACCTGTGTTAGGTAAAATCCTGGAGAAAATGATAATCAAAAGGATCAGATACCATGTCCAATCCGGGTGTAGTACTCGTCAATACGGTTTTACCCCACAAAGGAGCACCGAAGACTCCCTCTATGATATGATGCAATATATCCAACTACAATTACGCAATAAAAAGATCATCGTGATAATATCTCTTCACATAGAGGGAGCCTTCGATAGCGCCTGGTGGCCAGCTATAAGATGCCGATTGGCTGAGGAAAAGTGCCCTAATAATATAAGAACATTGATGGACAGTTATCTCCAGGATAGGAAAGTGAGACTTAGATATGCAGGTGTGGAACATACACGGGCAACCACAAAGGGGTGCGTACAGGGTTCCATAGGAGGACCGGTCCTATGGAATCTTCTTCTCGACCCTCTCCTAAAAGAAATGGAAGGTAAAAGTGACCGGTGTCAGGCGTTCGCCGATGACATCGTCCTACTGTTTGCGGGGGACACGGCGCTTGATGTCCAAAGACGTGCGGATGCTGCTCTGGAACATGTTATGAAGTGGGGAATTCGTAACAAACTTAAATTTGCGCCACATAAGACCCAGGCAATGGTAATAACGAACAAACCAAAATACGATCCCCCACGTCTGAGCATGGGCGGTATGGTGGTGCGCATGTCGGAGGAGATCAAGGTGCTTGGTCTCACCGTAGACAAAAAACTTACTTTTAACACACACGTTGGGAATGTGTGCAAGAAGGCCACATCTCTCTACTCACAGCTATCGAGAGCGGCAAAGATCAGTTGGGGCCTTCAACCAGAAATTATTAGGACGATGTACACGGCGGTAGTTGAACCGGTGGTTTTGTACGCAGCGAGCGCGTGGGCGCCAGCCGCTAAGAAGTTGGGAGTCAGGAAGCAACTGAATAATATGCAGAGAGGATTCGCTCAAAAAATTATCAAAGCATACCGGACCGTATCCCTACACTCGGCACTAGCACTGTCTGGTCTGCTTCCTCTGGACTTGAGGGTCCAAGAAGCAGCTTCCCTTTTTGAGGCGAGGAGAGGAAAACTCCAGTCGCTGCTGGCAGACCGAGTGGTGGAGACAAAGGCGAGCTTTATGGAACTGCCTCACCCCGCATCCTACTCGTATATGGATCTGCAATTCATATGCCTGGTAAACGAGGACGAAATGAGACTCAACAACAACCAGAGTCTCCGAATATTTACCGACGGGAGTAAAATAAAGGGAAAGGTCGGAGCGGCCTTATCTTTTTGGAATAATGCTGGTGAGACCCAAACTCTGAAACTCAAACTGTCGGACTACTGTACCGTTTACCAGGCGGAATTACTGGCCATATACATGGCAACTGAGCGGATTCTCTCTAGCGCGGAGACAACTTTTGGGGTCTACAGTGACTCTAGGTCTGCTCTGGAGACCATTGTAGACCACGACTCTCAACACTCTTTAGCAGTCAAGACCCGCAAAAACATTTATAACATCTTAAGGCACCAAAAAACATTACAACTCTTCTGGATAAAAGCCCATGCGGGTCTTGCGGAAAATGAACGAGCTGACGAGCTGGCTAAACAGGCGGCGCTGCGGGCAAAAAAAAAGCCGGACTACGACCTTTGCCCGGTCTCTTTTGTAAAGCGTCTCATTCGATCTGAGACGCTTAAAGAATGGAACCGAAGGTATACAGATGGAGAGACCGCTAGAACAACTAAAGCATTTCTGCCGGACGTTGAGACAGCCCACAAGGTGATTAGAGAAACAGCGCTGTCTCCGACGATGATCCAAGCAATGACCGGACATGGTGGGTTCTCAGAGTACCTGTATCGGTTTCGGTGCAAGGAGAGCCCATCATGCGTCTGTGAGCCTGAAACCGAGGAGACGGTTATGCACATCCTCCTGCAGTGTCCTCGGTTTGATAAAGCCAGATACGATATCGAGTCTGAAATCGATATTCAGATAGTAAAAGAAAATTTACACATGCTGCTCATTGAAAAAAGGACGCGAAATAAGTTTATAAAATTTTGTGAGGGTGTAGTTAAACAAGTCATTAAACATAACCAAAAGTAAATTATAGAAATTTAATATAGTTTAATATGACGAATATTTTTAATATGATAAATATGCCCAATGACTATTGTTGATTATTATTATCTCTATTATTTACTAAAATATGTAACTTGAACTGATTATTAATTCAATTATTATTTGAGACTTAACAATCAATTTAGTAATAAAACCGGTGCTTCCTTGTGTTTATACTTTTATATACAGAGAGAATGCGCTGACTCCAAATTCAAAATTATAAGATTTATTTACAAATTGTATGTGTGTTAATATAAAGGAATTTATAAGTAAGAGATATATTGTTGTTGCGTGTATTAGGTAAAGAGTAGTAGGACTCCCGAACGAAAACCCGGAGTCCTCTACACCCTCTATAAAACAAAAAGGACAAAGTAAATAAAAAACATGAAATAAAGTCCATGTCGAGCTGACAATGTCTCTGACCTACATGTCAGAGGAAAGCAGCAAAACATACATTAAAAAAAAAAAAAAAAACCTAACCTAACCTAACCTAACCTAACCTAACCTAACCTAACCTAACCTAACCTAACCTATGGTGAAAGAAGAAAAACCAACAAAACAACCAGTACGTTTAGATACAATACGAATAACATAAAATGGGAGGAACTAAGACCTTTCTTTGAAACTAAAATTATGGAATATGTACCCCAAAATGTTACAGTTGAACAGATGCAGGCAAATGAACTGGAAGATTACATAATTTCAGTTACATCGGCAATTCAAAGAACATGTGATGAGCTGCTCCCAAGGTCAACTGGTCGAAAATACCGCTGCCCTTGGTGGACAGACGAACTTGAAAGTCTCAAAAAACAAGTAATACGCAACCATCATAACATACAAAAACTTCGCCGACAAAATAAACCACTTAAGGACGCCCTTTTGGAAAAAGAACGCTTAAAAACTGCTTATTCAAAAACCTTTAGAGAAACTTCCACGCAAAATTTCAGAGACTTTTGTGAAAGGCAAGGGAAGGAGGATGTGTGGTCCGTTACAAATAGAATAATCAAATCAAACCCACCTCCGCTGCCACCAGCCACACTAAAGAATGCGATGGTACATACACCAACTCTAGCCTCGAAACCGCCCAAGCTCTTCTTAATAAGTTTTTTCCCGATGATGACATAAATGATACACCACTTCAAGAAGAAGCTCGGAAAATTGCAATTACCGTACCTAATACTCAAGATGAACCCCCTTTTACCTATGAAGAAATTCGCAGTAGCTTAAATAGTATTAATCCGAAAAAAGCACCCGGCACTGACCATCTTACTTCTGACATTTGCTTATTATTTGCCGAAAGCTTTCCAAATCTTATTACTTCAGTCATTAACCGATGTTTTAAACTGGGATATTTTCCAAATATCTGGAAGATAGCTTTTATCAAAATCCTCCCTAAGCCCCACAAGAACGATTATTTAAATATTTCTTCTTTCCGCCCCATAGGTCTAATTAATGTATTTGGAAAACTGTTTGAAAAACTAGTTATACGTAGGTTAACATATTTCATGCACCAAAAAGATCTTTTTAGCTCAGCACAGTACGGTTTTAAAGAACAAACATCTACCATCAATGCATTAACCAACATAATAAATATTACCAACCAGGCCATAGCCAATAAAGAGCAAGTGCTTGCAGTTTCTTTAGACATACAAGCTGCATTTGACTGTGCTTGGTGGCCGGCAATATACCGCAGACTACATAAAATTGGATGCCCCCCGTAACATCTACTCTATTTTGTGTAGTTATTTCCAAAATCGATCTGCAATTATACATTTCGGAGACAGCACAGCTATAAAAACTCTGACGAGAGGTTGCGTCCAGGGTTCGGTTTGTGGCCCTTTCCTATGGAATTTAATTGTGGACGAACTTCTCGATATGGATATGCCACCTGGAGCTACAATACAAGCATTTGCGGATGATATATTCCTTCCTGTGCGCGCCAAAGACAGTAATAATTTACAGCTTAACGCAAATAATGCTTTGAGTATAATCACTAAATGGGGTCTGGAAATGAAACTTACTTTTGGAGTTGCCAAAACACAGGCCATCGCATTTACTTGCAAGGCAGCGAGGTGCAAGCTCTATATGTCTGGTCATCTCCTGAATTTTTCTAACGAGATTAAGCTTTTAGGCGTTTTAATAGACAAAAAGCTCAAATTCATAAAACATGTAGATTTCATCGTCAACAAAGTCCCTAAATTGTACACTAGGTTAATAACGTTCGTCAAACCAACTTGGGGCAGTCACTCCGAGAATATAGAAATTATCTATAAACATGTGATTGAGCCAATAGTCTGTTATGCTTCTTCTATCTGGCAATCAGCAATCGGGTACAAATGTGTGACAGAGAAACTACTCTCTTTGCAACGCAATTTTGCCCTTAGAATTATCCGTGGCTTTAGAACCGTGAGTACAGTCGCTTGCATATCAATCGCTCAACTATGCCCACTCCCAATAAAAATAAAGGAAATAGCAGATAATGAGCGCACAAGAATCACACAAGTTTCACAGTACCTACCTTCTGATGTTACTCTAGACGTCCCTGCTAAACCAGGAAATTTATTACATCCCTCTTTGCGAAAACCTATTAAATTTACTGAAGAACAAATACCGACAGAAAATATTATAAATTCTTATCGTATTTACACCGATGGTAGCAAGCACAGCAATAAAGTGGGCGCTGCATTTGTGATACACAAACCGAACGGAGAAAAACTAATACGCAAATACAAATTACATGACTCGTGTTCAGTCTTTCAAGCCGAACTCCTGGCCATTTCTAAAGCCTGCGAATGGATTATAGAACACAAAATCAATCCAACATATATTTTCTCAGACAGCAAATCAGGTCTCCAAGAAATTGCAAACGAAAACAGTTACAACTCCCTCGTAGTATCGATTCATAGGATAATACAACGAATTGAATCACTCAATTTAAAAGTCAGTCTTTGCTGGATTAAAGGTCACATCGGAATTTCAGGCAATGAAGAAGCGGATGCAGCTGCCAAAAGCGCGGCAACCTCCCACCGATCTTATGAATTTCTCAAATTCCCAATAAGCCATGTAAAATATTTAAATCGACAACAAGCCATTAAAGGAACAGAAAACTTTTACTTTGAAAGTAACAAAGGCATATATACCAAATCTCTATGTCCTACTTATGAGCAACTCACCCTAACTGTTAAAGCACTGGCACCTAATTTTGCTATAACTCAGTATCTTAGCAATCATGGATATCACAAGGAATATCTTCATCGTTTTAAAATAACCAATGATAATAAATGCCCATGCGATCAAACTAGTGTACAATCCATGACACATCTTATAAGAAACTGCCCTGCATTTCTTAGAACAAGAATGGAACATGAAATTGCGTGCACTATGTTAAAGATAGAACCATATAATTTATCAGAAATAATTTCCAAAGAAACTACTATACAAACTTTTAAAACCCACGTCAATTACATTATAAGTCAACTAAAAAACTTCAACAACAATACAGCAGTAGTAAATTAAAATAATTGAACATTATATGCCTCATAAGTAAATTCAAGAAAAACTGGAATAAACGTATAATAATAAGATACCCTATGTAAATAGTAATTTTAATTTTACTAATTCTATTAAGGTAGTCTATAAATATTAAATATTTATTAATTATAAATATTTATATATAATTATGTATGAATATGTATATTTATGTTTAGTATTAAACAAATTAATGTTCCAATTGTCTTGCATAAAACATAAATCAAATTCTTATCGTAAAATATTTTAGGTAACATTATTAAAATATATTATGAAAACCATTGATGAAAGTTATCAAAAGTAAATATTAACAGAAATCAAAGCAAAATGTGGAGCAAATAGAACCCATCATTTAAACAAAAATTTCGCAACCATAAGGAATTGTATACCGATAGCAATTCCTCATGGAAAAGAAGAAGGAGGGAAAAAAAAACCTAACGTAACCTAACCTAACCTAACCTAACCTAACCTAACCTAACCTCACCTAACCCAGTCCGGTGTTAACTGCCGTCCCGAACGCCACGTTTCTGAGTTGCTCCGCGCTGAAAAATTCGTTAAAATAGGTTATTTACGTCCGATTTTTGTGTGCTATACACCAAAAGACGCGGCTTAACTCGCGGCATAAAGTCGTGCAATTTGATTTTAAATCGGAGTGAAAGTGAAAAAGTTAAAGTGAAAAAAAGTGAATTTTGGAAAATTGTAAATTTTAAAAGTGAAACGCTGAGTGATTAAGCACGGTTACCCATGTTTTTTAAACGGTGTGGCCTTGAAGCTATTCACGGACCCTACATATGTGCAAAATTTGGGAATTTTCTGAGCGATAGTCTCAGAGAAAAAGCCAAAAAAACAAGTGCCACGTGGGCACGTGTTTCGAGAAGGAAAGTCGTGCGGCTATTTTTGGAGTCGCAATCTCGTAGCCAGCGTGGAGAGCAGCCGGGAGCAAATTCCAGAACTCTGATAAGTTAAGTGGCTGCGGAGTAATTGAACTTTTGAATTTTGTGAAATTTTTAAAATTTAATATTTTAAAGTCTAAAGCGAAGACCCCTAGTTTTTATTATTAAATAGTGTTAAGGCTAATATAAGATAGGTATACAAAAATTTTCAGATTTTTATCGTAAGTAGTTTTTAAGATAGGATTTTTTAAATTAACTTTATGACCACGTGTTTCCTTATATAACGTGTTATGTGGTATAAAAATATATGTATCTAATAAAGATACCTTTAGTATCTTATAGAAATTTTTGTAAAATTTTAAAACTAAATTTGGCCCTTAAAAATTGAAATTTTCCAAAAAATTTCACAAATTTTGTTAAAAATTTAATTAAAGGGGGCTTAATACGCTAAATTACATATTTCACTGTTATATTGACACCGAGACCTTTTAAATGAGCCCAAACACGGGCCAAATTGGTTAAAAGGCGCCTGAAATAATTTCTTGTGGTCTAAACTGGCGGCCATTTTGGAAATATTTAAACTGATATAACTCATGACCTAGAAGTCGTAGAGAGTTCCAGTTTTCAAGGTGGAGCTTAGGGCGATGGCTTCTATCCGCTTATATACTTTTTAAGCGTTTTCGAGCTGAGGGGTTTCGGGTCATTGAGGGGTACCTGAAACGATAGAGCGAGCGAGGACAAGCCTATTGAGCCCAAACACGAGCGTTCTACGACCACTGGAAGGAAAATTGTTCGGGGTCGAAGATTGATTTTGACAGTTCTTGAACTGTCAGACTAGACTTTGGACGCCGATAATATCCGAACCGGAGGTCGTGGAAGGCTCTGGTTTTCTCTTGGGACAAAGGCAGCATCTCCGCTATCACATTAGCAACCTTTCAGGAATTTTCAGGGCCTGAAAGTTTTTTCAGTCTAAACCCTCAGCAAGTTGTGGAGCTCGTCGAGCCCAATTGGGAGACCCCAAGCACGGCAGGTTTTGGACGAGTGGTCGCGGAAAAACCGCTTGTAACCGGATTCTGGTGGCCATCTTGGATCGGCGACCAGAAATTTGGGCTGCTGTTTCTGCGGGACCCCTGGGGCTGGGATAGTCGTGTTTGGGTTTAAACGGAAGGGCTCGGGGAGATCTACAACTGCATTTACTTAGATTGACTCTAGGTAGAGTCGAAAAATTTTAAAATTTTATTTTGACCAAAATTGGCTCCTGAAGGCTCACAAGCCTTAGATTTATCACCTTTTACCTTCGCAAGGTAAAAATAACTTGGTAGAGCAGGACTCTACTTCATTTTTATTTTTAATTTTATAAGATAGGTAAAATTTTTATTTTATTTTATATTTGACAAAGACCCCCCTTTACAGGGTCTAGCAAATATTTTATAAAGGGACAATTTTCCCCGATACATTCGCAATAATTCACATAAATAACACTACACACCGCACCCATACACACTCACACAAGAAATATGTACCGCACACCCACGACCTCTGGCGCTACCAAAAAGCCCACCACCCCCAGCCCTGCCACCAAAACCTCAGCAGCACAGGACGCTGCTAGGACATTTATTAAAAGACCGGAAGCCAAAAGGAGATCACTCGACAACATGGAAATCTATAAAAAGCAGAAACAGAACTACGCTGCATTATCGAGTG